TTTCAAATTCCACCATCTGCCATGGCAGGACGCAAACTTGGGTAACCAGAACGGGGATAGCTGGATTAATAGTCTAGTGATAATACCATGACACCATTGCCTTCTCTTCTCGCGAGGCTTTGTAGCAACCTACAGTTGGGATATAGAACAGAGAAACGAACAACAGAAGTGTTTATTTGGTAATTTGAGCCTGCTCTGCAATTCAGCATGACCATGGTTGATCCTCTATCTCAACACAATATTCCAGCTTTCTCTCCATATCCCTTAGTGCCTTTATTACCTGAAAACGTATGAGTCTCTTTGTTGAACGTACTTGGTGACCTGCCTCTTCAACATTTTATGGTAAAAAAAATCCATAGGTTGATCACTCTCTGAGTGAAGAAATCTTTCTTATCTCAGTATTCTGAGACTGTGACACCTGACTCTTGATTCCCCAAACAGGTGAAACATTCACACTGCATTTAGTTTATCAAGCCTTGTTGGAATTCTTTATGTTTCTATCATATCCCCTCACATTTTTCTAAAATCTAGCGAATACAGGCCCAATCGAACCAAGCTCCCCTCACACAGCAGACCTATAATGCCCCACTTTGCCAAAACAATGTAAAATTAAGCTCTTCATCTGGTTACTATCACAGTGCTGTTTGTGCAAGTGTGATGTGTGCAAAATGACTGTCACAATGCTTGCACAACGTTCAGCATTATTCACAATTCCTCAGATACAAAAACAGTCTGTGCCAGCATGCAGCAAGACACAGATTGATAAATGGCAAGTTCCATTTTCGCCACACAAACACCAGGAAATGATTATCTCCAACAAGACAGAATCTAACCACTTGTCATGGTGGGTTTTGAACTCATCCCTGCGTTATTAAGCCAGGTCTCTGGATTATTACTTCAGTACCATAACAAAATTGAATAGTTGAAATTCAATAGTTGAATCCCCACACTGACACATCCAGTGACAAGGACATGCACTTGATCCACCATGTAAACACTGTGTCTCCAAAAGGAATTCTACCCCTTACTCACTGTAGTCTGTCCATCGTCTAAAAGGCACAAAATACTCTCCACTTACCTGAATGAGTGCAGCTCCAACAATACTCAGGATAATCAAACACCATCCAGGCAAAACATTCCACCTGACTGGCACCTCCTGCACCACATTCACCATTGTCTCTCTCCAACACTGTTGCACATTGGCAGCAATATATATCATTTACAAGATAGACTGTAGCAACTCGCCAACTCTCCTTCAAAGGCACTTTCCAAACCCACAACCTCTATCACTTAGGACAGTGACAGCAAATGCCTGCATACACCGCCAACTTATCCTCCAAGTCACAAGTCATTCTGATTCAAAACTGTATCGCTGTTCATTCATTGTTGTTGGTTAAAATTTGGGGAATTTTTCTCCCAAGGACAATTAGGGATGGATAATAAATGCTAGTCCAGACAGCAACATCCACAGCTCATTCTTTTTTTAAACTGTGACTACACTTCTAAAGTAGCTCCATTGGCCATAAAGTCCTTTGGGATATTCTGAGATTGTGAAAAACACTATAGACAAACAGGACATTCTTTGTTCTATTATCTGAATGAGCAAGAAATCCTGGAGCTTTGTAAGGAGAAAGAATTTTTCATCTTGAAAGTTTTGCAAACAGTAGCACACTCGTTGTGTACTGAAGTAATAATCCAGAGACCCAGCTTAATAACGCAGGGTTGAGTTCAAAACTCACCATGACAGATTATTAATTAAATTCAATTGATTAAATAAATCTGGAACATAAAGCTAGGCCTCAGTAATGGTGACTTGGAAATTAATGGATTGTCATTAGATCCTGTGTCTATTATTCAAGGCTCACAGCAAAGCAAATAACTCTCAACTTCCCAGTGAAACGGTCAAGTGTGCCATTTATTAATATCAAATTGTCATGATAAAATGTACAGAGTGATTATCCATAATACAGTTGGGTCGCTGCACAAATGGGAGAGTGGACTTTCATCACAGCATAAGTGCCATGCCCCACACCTGAGGCTGGTTGGGGTGAGCTGCACCAGGAGATGGCTATCACAGTGCTCACCCAATTGCCAAGATTAAGAGTAAACTTCCAAATCTCTGCATCTTTCTGCTCCTCTTTGTCATCCCTAGCCTCCCAGAGTCCTGGATCACATCCAGCTGGAACTTATGGCCGTACCATCTTGGAGACTGCCTATGCCCCTTCCATCATTTCAAATTGCAAAGTCATCCTCTTCACACATGCACACTGTTGGAGTAACCTTTTGGTGGCATTTACAGCATTCACCACCTAACATCTAACCCTAACAGTACTGTGGGTCTAAATGTGCCACATCTATTCAAAACATCAACTTGTCACCACATTTTCCAGGTTGGTTGGGAATAAACAATAAAGGTTGGCCTTGCCAGTGATGCTCACATCCTTTAATTCAATAAAATTAGAATATTTGGAATAAGAAAATATTTACATAGCATCTGTCATAAGCTTCAGACATCCTGAAGCACTTTTGAAGGAATGAAGTACTTGACAAATGTAGTCACTGAACACACACCAGCCCACAAATCCTAGTTACCAGAGAACTATGACGACATGTATTAAAATTTGAAAAATTTTGCTTTTTTTTGGCTACAAATGGCTCAAATGCTACTTCTAGGTGAAATGAAGAGAATACAAAGAGGAAGTGTGCAAATATAGTGACATCAGTAGCACATGTGCAGACACATCCTAAACCCCTTTGTGGCCAACTGACTTCATCAATCCCTTTACACATGCACAGGGGCTGGCGGCTATTTTATCAGCCATTTTGGAGTCCAGGGTAATTATTCTTTTTTTGATTAATTGTTTCATGTGTATATCAACTATAGCTTGATATTGATAGCATCAGTGGTAGTACTGAAGTACAGGGCAGCATTGAGCAGTATTGGTTAGCCAAGGAACTGATAAACCTAGCAGAGTAAAAGTCATTGTGCACTGAAGCAAAAAAATGGGATGAAATGCAAAAAATAAATCTGTAGTCTTGATCAAATAAGATCAGCTGTTTTCTTGTTATTAATGAAAGAACCTATTAGAATAAACTGCTTGAACTACAAAAATAGTAAGAGATGCAGTGGATCCATCTGTTTTGCTATGGTAGAATTCAACTATAATCCCATATCCATGAGATATCCATTAGGCTGCCCCTTGTGTATAAAAATGCAAAAGCTTAACATAGCTTAACATACATTGTGGAAGCTGACACTGTACCGATAATGTGATTCTGTTACTGCCTTCTAAAGTATATTTTATTTGTTGACTGACATTGTCACTTATGTGTCCTCTGTGGAATTTTCATACAGAGGTAATACATAATGCTGAATAAAAAGATTATCGTAATGCTTTCAGCAGTAATGTGAGTGATGTAAAGTAACTGACATTATGCTTTTGTGAATATTTGATATATGGCATATTAACGTCAGACTGCTACCATAGGAAATGATTACCATTTTTTTTAAATTTTATCATACAAGCTCATCATCTTCTATGCTTGTTTTGGGAGTTCAAAGAGAAAATGTTGCACTACCTTGGTTACAACTTCCAATGTACAATGTTATTAAATATTTAATTCTAGTCTGTTTAGAAGTAGCAAATTGCATTTTTTATTTACAAATTTTACGAAAATATAACGTTAACTTGTCAGAAGTAATTACTACTGTTGCTCAGTACTTAAAAAGCTTTACTTTTTAAAAGTTATAAGGCAAAGTTTAAAACAAAAATAAGGTAATGAACAGGTATCACCCCAGTCATCTTAGAAATGTGTGAGTTAATTAGTACGATATTAGAGCAAACATACCTTCAAATTGTAGTTAACAAGTAGAGACTTACTGTTTTTCATCAAATTTGATAATGTGGATCAGATAAGTTTCAGGCCAGAAATTAAAGAATGTAAATAAAAACTGCCAGACAACAATGTTCCTTTAAATACAGAAGGCTGCAAATGCTTTTTACACCAATTATAAATAATGTCTAAATTCATAATTCCTTCAGAATTACTGAAGTCATGGATTATATTTCATGCATACAACTTATTGATTATTGCCTTTAATAATTTAGGTTATTTTGTCTAAACAAAATAGATTAACAAAATTTGATAGAAAAAATATACTTGTACTGAAATGACAAAACCCTTTTATCATTAAAACACATCCTGCACCATGGACAGATACACACACACACACACACACACACACACACACACAATGGACAATAAACTAGCTTTGGAGAAATTTCTTCTAAACCACAATATCAAAGTAATATTCTGTGTATTTAGTTCAGAAAACACACGTTTTCTTTAATGCTTTATTTAATACTCACTACTACTTGAAAGCTCTATGAAGGGATCAATGCTAACCCCTGAGGACAGCCTATGCACAGCAAGAAAGATAGTGACTCCCCTGTGCTCTCTCCAGGTCAGTACCAAGGACCGTGTTAGCAGATATGCACCAGACCCTTAGCAGCCAGCTCTGCTGCTACCAGTAATTAGCTTGGACAGCTCTGGCTCCTAGAGAGGCAGCAAGGCTACATCATAATGAGCTCAGCTGGGATTAGCAGGACAGGGCAGGGAACAGAGAGAGATGAGGCCTTCTATATCACGTATGTAGTGAGGAGATCAAACGAACACGGCTGGCTAGGTTATCCCCTCACCACCTTATTCAACAAATGAAGCACGGCAGTGTGCAAAATACAGGCTAATGAAGAGCGACACCTCCAACAGATGAGAGCCACATTAATTAACACAATCCCCCTATCACATTATACAGATACTGTTACCACTACTAAACTTGTCACTACAGCTGATAGGAAGAGACTGGCTTATTTGATAAAAGAAGTTTGCCTGTTTTATCCTTGCAAGGAATTCCTCTGTGTGGCATTTAAGCACCAGAAGATCAGACAGAAGTGATATGGCTCTGCATGTGTAAATTTGCAAAAGAAAAAGAAACTCACTTTTCAGTCAATAGCTTTTTGTGTTCCTGTTTGAAGTATGCTAGTTCATTCCATACACCATCACAGTCTTCCTGCCGCAACTGCCAGGGCTCAGCACGCTGTATTTTGATTTTGCCATTTTTATTTCTGGAACATGATGTAAACCACAAATATTGAGAGGTTCTTTCCTTTTCCCAGCATTAAGATTTTAGGGTAAGAAAAATACTGCTCATCTCTATAGTTACTAAGAATTCCACCAGAATTCAGTTTAAATAACTGATTCAACAGTACAAACATTGCCCTACAAATATTATACAAACAATTCTGAAACCAAATAACCATTTTAACATTTTACAAGTTTCTTAACTAAAATCTAACGCCAGGATCCTGCTCAAATGTTTGACAGGATCATGTAAAATACAACGTCATCACTGCAAGTCTGCAAGTAAAATAAATTCCTTGTACTGCTCACCAGAATGTAGAAAAGAACTCTATTTTACATATTTTAATACAAATACTGTATTCTATATGAGAAGGAATAGTTACATAATTAGGGATGCTTTCTTCCTTGCAGCCAAACATGGCTGGGGCCGGTACACCACAAGTTAAACATAGGATATTATTTTCCCCCAGAAAATGTTAAAATCAAACCAAATCTCAGAGGTACGTGCCACCTACCCATACCAGCAATCCTATTGTCCAATTATTGTTGAATTATGCACTGTACACTTGTTTCCACTGGGAACTTAGTATCCTTAACAGCAATCAAACAAAAAGGAGACTTTTGTGCCATCTGTTTAAGCTAGATCCTATCTCTGGTCCCTGAAGGGTTCGAACCAATGACTAGTTAAGGTTCATCCATTAAAGGGCAGAGTTTAGAAAAAGGTATTGGCTCCATATTAATTTAATTAAAACAATTTAAGAATGTTACCATTCTTATTTCATTACACTCAAAGAATTACATTTTAATGCTAATTTTAATTACAGATTCCTACTTCTTTGACAGGTACACTGAAACAGCTAATTTGTGAGTAAGCCCTGCTGATGAACATTGAGAATAATATGGCAAAATAAGGATATGCTAATGAACAGATAAATGAAGAGGGGAAATGCACATGACAATTAGAATCTAAATTAAATCTTTTCATATGATCCACATACCCTAGATGTGGCCTGTGTTCATTCATTGCATTTCCAGGATTTTCCTTTTTTATTTCAAATCTTCAGCATGTGCATTTTTCTTTTATCAATAATGATCTAAACTGAACCAAAGATTTCTCTTTCAGGGCAAGATTCATTGCCAGAGACAAATAAATCAAAGATCAGATTATAAACACCAAGTCATTTTCAATTGAACCGAAAGTTTGCATGTTCTTACTTGATTTGTTCCACTTCCAGGTTCTTTAGTTGGCCCTTAAGCATTCTGTAGTTGCTTTGTAAAGCTCGTAGACGCTCCAGTCGCTGATCATGAGCTCTCCTCAATTCCTCATTCTCTTTGTCCTAAGCAGGAAATTAAAGGCAACAGCACAATTATTTAAATCAGTGAAACGGTGTTCTCATTGACCTAATGTATTACAAACTGGATGAATTCTGTCTAGGTTCATTATGGTAAGTAAACAACACGTTTTAATTCTGAATTAATCACACCTATGTGAACAACCGCAAGTTGATTTGTTATCATTCATTTTCCCAAGCTCAATTAAACACAATTAAAGGCAGTCTAATAATCAATGGTACTGTATGATATCAAAATAAATCCTTATGTAGGTGCTCTCAGCAAGAAACAAAATAGTCTGATGATTTAGCAAAATGGAACAAATTGTCAAATTCATAGATATAAATTAATAGTAATGATATCTATTGTCTGTCTTACAAATCATATTAGACTGAAAGACTAATTCAGTAAACTTGTTATTGTCTTATAATGCCCCAGTTTTCACTTAATTTAGCAAGACAAGAATTTAGTGCTATCAGATTGGAAACAATACACTTTCTACATATCAGAATTTTACTTTGAAGATGGACAAATGGTGGTCACTTAAAATTCTGAACATAGTTCATAAATTTATGAACACCAAAAGCAAAGAAATAAAATTATGAACACTCATATTATTCATTCACACAACCCCTACAGTGTGGAAATAGGCCCTTCGGCCCAACAAGTCCACACCGACCCTCAGAACATCCCACCCAGACCCATCCCCCTAATCTACATGTCCCTGAACACCAAGGGCAATTTAGCATGGCCAATCCAACTAGCCTGCACATCTCTGGACTGTGGGAGGAAACTGGAGCACCCGGAGGAAACCCACGTAGACATGGGGAGAATGTGCAAACTCCACACAGACAGTCGTCCGAGGGTGAAATCAAACCCAGGTTCCTGATGCTGTGAGGCAGCAGTGCTAACCACTGAGCCACAATGCCACCCTTTTCACATGCTGCCATCATGAAAAAGACCCTCTTATCCCCACTCTCTGCATTTTGCCAGTCAGCCAATCTTCTATCCATGTCAGTAACTTGCCCCTAACACCATGGGCACTTATCTTATTTTGCAGCCTCCTGTGCAGCACCCTGTCATGCTTGGGATGAAAATTTATGAGGGGCACAGATAGGGTAGACAAGAAGGAACTTTTCTCCTCAGTGGAGGGATCAATGACTAGTTTGCATGGATTTAAAGTAAGAGGCAGAAGGTTTAGATGAGATGCCAGAAAATAATTTTTCACCCAGAAGATAGTGAGAATCTGGAACTCACTGTCTGAATGGGTGGTAAAGGCAGAAACCCTCACAAAATCTACTCAGTATTTAGATGTGCACTTTGTATGTATGGGCCAAGTGCTGGATTAGAATATGCGATTAGAATAGTTAGGTGCTTATTTTTGAGCAGTGCAGACTCAAAAGGCCTCTTTTCTGTGCTCGAGATCGCTATGATTCTATTACATCTACATATACCTTCATTATCATGTCATATGTAAACAAGCTCATTTCGGGCTTTGTGTATCTTCTACCAGAAATGAATTCTAAACCGAATTGTACCTCTGACTCTGCAGTCCTGTTTCAGAATTAAATCTCTTTTATACTGTCAAAAATAATCTAAATTTAAGTTTTAAAAAAGAACCAAAGCGGAAAATCTCACCTGCTTTTAAGTAACCACAGCAGATGTACATTTAAGATCATACAAATACCTTGGTGTCTTCAACATTACTTTGTTGGTGACAATTTATTACTCCTATACATACATAGCAGAGTTCTGTTAAACGCTTTCCAGGGCGAGGCATTTGTCAGTGTTTTTTTTAAATTAGTATTGCAATGGCCATATTAAACATAGCAGAAGTGATGAATGACAAAAACCAAAGGATGATAAAGGGAACTCATAAATACTGTATATGAAACCTGAAAATATGTTCACTAAATGATACATACACTTTTAAACAGGTTGACAGGAAATGAATTCAGCGTGAGACATCAAGGTAAAGCAAGATTCTTGAAAAAAGTTTAGGTTATGTAATGGCACCTTTCAATTTCAGCAGTAGTTGGAGCAATGCAATAATGATGTCATGCAAAAAAGTTACTTAAGTACTGGGTACTGGCCAAGGTTACCCTTAAGTTTTTGTTGTGTATGGTCCACTCATTTAAGTACTCAGCCCTTTAAAATTTTTTTTGCAAGACTACATATGGTAACTTAAATGAAGCAACTTGTGCTCGACCTGAGCAGCAAACTTTGGGTTGCTGTGTAGCCAAGATGTACTATTAGAGGTAACTTTTCCAGGGAGCATTGGCAAGGGAGTATGGTTGCATCCACTAAAGAATACAATATACAATTATGCCAATCTTGTGTTAGATCAAAAAATGGAACAGTTTTAATAACCAGTAAAAATGACTAAGAAAATATTAGAGGGAGAAAGCAGAGCCAGACAGAAAACTAGCCTGTAATATAAGTTTTAAATCAGGGAACAGTAAGAAAAGCTAATACTGATTCTTCCAGAGAGAGAGTATGAGTAAATTGATAAGAGAAAATTGTGCAATGTTGGAGGCTTGTTCACTGTAGAAGATGATTGAAAGTAAAGAGCTGAAAGGGAGGGAAGCACTTAGAACAATCATTATCACCAGGAAAAAGGTGCTAGGGAAATTAACTGACATGAAATTTGACAATGCCCAGGATCAGATGGTATGAGTTCTAGGGTCTTCTAGGAAATCAGAAAACAGTTAATGATAGTTTCAAAATCTCCCCTCCCCCCACCGCATCCCAAAACCAGTCCAGCTCGTCCCTGCCTCCCTAACCTGTTCTTCCTCCCACCTATCCCCTCCTCCCACCTCAAGCCGCACCTCCATCTCCTACCGACCAACCTCATCCCGCCCCCTTGACCTGTCCGTCCTCCCTGGACTGACCTATCCCCTTCCTAACTCCCTACCTACACTCACCTTTCCTGGCTCCATCCCCACCTCTTCGACCTGTTTGTTTCCTCTCCACCTATCCTCTCCTCTATCCCTCTTCTATCCGCCTCCCACTCTCTCCCTATTTATTTCAAAACCCCCTTCCCCTCCCCCTTTTCTGATGAAGGGTCTAGGCCCGAAACGTCAGCCTCTCTGCTCCTATGATGCTGCTTGGCCTGCTGTGTTCATCCAGCCCTGCACCTTGTTGTCTCAAACAGTTAATGATAGGCCAGTTAGCCCAATATCTGCCCTGGAAAAATTATAAGAATGCATTATTAAGGAAGGTACAGTGGAATACTTAGAAAATCACGACAAGATCAGGGAGAGATGGTTTCAGGAAAAGACAATTGCATTAAAGTCTATGATTCATAAAATCAAAGTAACAAATAAGGTGGGTAAAAGGGAACCTGCAGATTGATTTACACAAGACATTTGATAAAGAGCCACATCAAAGGCTACTACCTAAAATAAGATCTCATTGTGTAAGAAGTAATATTTTAGCATACATAAAAGACTGGCTAGTTAACAACAAGGAGAAGGAGGGTTCAATAGATTTTTTTGGTTTGGAAAGCTGTGCCTAGTACACTACCACATAGATTAGTGTATGGGGAAATTGCAATATACATCAATTTCTTGGAAATGAAGATGTGGGAGTAATATTTGCCATTGATATAAGTTGTCAAGGGGAATGAGTGAGTCTGCAAAGAAATACAGATAGGTTAAGTGATGGAGCAAAAATGCAGCAAATGGAGTACAGCGTGGGAATATATGAACTTTTCCATTTTGGCAAGGAGAATTAGAAAACAGGACACTACTTTCAAGCAGAAGAGGATTCCATAACTCAGGCGTACAGCTGGTTCTGGATGTCCTGGTACAGGAAGCAGAAAAAGTTAGTATACAGGTTCAGGAAGTGATTTTGAAGTCAACTGTAATTTTTTTTTATTGCAAGGGGAATGGAATATAGGAGTGGAAAAGTATTGAAAAATGCACTGCAAAATTATGTTGGTTTCTTCCAAGCTCGCAGATGTCCTTTGCTAATGGGTTCAATCAATCCTTAACAGAATTATAGTTAAAATTTGCTCAATCTGTATATTGTGTTTAAGAAAACAAATATAGGTTTTAACAACACTATAAACCTTTGTCAAATTTGGTGATTCGATTTTGAAACATTTTAAGTTTACTTCTGTGAAATTAATTCTGATCCAAAAATCGAGGTAAGGATCACTATATGTGATTAGACCACAATGTCTGTGTCCAATTCAGACAGTATGTTCAAGTCATCCTTCTTTGAACGACTTGATCAAGAGGTGCAGAGAAACAAATATGCAATCTATCTAAAGGAAACCAGGAGACTTTCCAAACTCTCAGAGTACAGTGGACACAGTAGCTGTGGTAATCAATGCTCAGTGATCAGCCCAAGGGACTTGGATGTGACACAACGAGATGTTCAGTGAGTTCACACACCAGTCAAAGTGAGTGAATTCATCAATACATGACATATCCCACCAACTACACAACTAATCTTAGTGCACAATGCACCACACCCCACTGCTCACCTTTCTTTCATCCTTATCAGTCAGAAGTCGTATCTCACATTCCTGGCTTATCCTCACTGTCGTGCGCTTACAAGCCTCCTACCCACATGCCACAGCTTGCACACACAAAATTTGCTACTCAACAGAGACAACCATATCAGGCAAACCCTCATAAAGTCATTGCCATATGTTCCTCTTTTATGAAGAGCAGGATGGCAAACAACCAGAGGGGGCAGCAGCTAACTGGAAAGGTTGAGCACGGCTGCACGCTCTCAAATCCAGATGGAGATGGTGAACGCAGTCACTGGAGTGACCCTGATTGAGGCTGTGAGCAGGAGTGAAATTGAAGCATTGAAGATGATGGTATGGTCATACCACATCCTCCTTCATAAATGTGGGTTCCCCCTCATCCCAAAATCCCTTCTGATTCACAAGTAGATGGTGCTATCTGATATCTCAAGTATTCCTTCTCCATCAGGAAGGGTAGTGAAGGCAATGAAATTTGTAAACTAATAACAAGAGTAGACAACTCAG